CGTAAATTCTAAGTCGAAAAAGGGGCATAATTCTGTCAAAATGCTTAATAGAGTTACCTCCTGCTGTCTACAGGTTGGGGTCATGATGTTGAACAAGTGTGCAAAGTTTCAAAGCCATATGTCTATGGACTTTGAAAATATTTGAACTATTACAAAAACTTTAACGTAAATTCTAAGTCGAAAAAGGGGCATAATTCTGTCAAAATGCTTGATAGAGTTACCTCCTCCTGTCTACAGGTTGGGGTCATGATGGTGAACAAGTGTGCAAAGTTTCAAAGCCATATGTCAATGGACTTTGAAAATATTTGAACTATTACAAAAACTTTAACGTAAATTCTAAGTCGAAAAAGGGGCATAATTCTGTCAAAATGCTTGATAGAGTTACCTCCTCCTGTCTACAGGTTGGAGTCATGATGGTGAACAAGTGTGCAAAGTTTCAAAGCCATATGTCAATGGACTTTGAAAATATTTGAACTATTACAAAAACTTTAACGTAAATTCTAAGTCGAAAAAGGGGCATAATTCTGTCAAAATGCTTGATAGAGTTACCTCCTCCTGTCTACAGGTTGGGGTCATGATGGTGAACAAGTGTGCAAAGTTTCAAAGCCATATGTCAATGGACTTTGAAAATATTTGAACTATTACAAAAACTTTAACGTAAGTGGTTACGCCGACGCCGACGCTCGGGTGACTGCAATAGCTCTACTTATTCTTATCGAATAGTCGAGCTAAAAATGAAATCATTACTTTGGGCGTAGCTCGATCAACACATTCGTAGCTGCTAATTGATTCTACAGGTATGCTTAGGATGTTACTTTATTCAAATACGCATTACCTTTTTATGCACAATCAAAACTTCAATTATGAAGAAAGGGAGTAAAGTTATGATATGAACAATTCCTTTGGAATTTTCTCTTTTTTCAGCTTGAGTTAAGCATTATAATGCTAATAAACCTCGTCAAAATCCAAATTAGGATAAGAAATTGTCCAATATATTAAAATTTTCCTTTTTTCAGAAGAATCAAATCACTGAAAAGTAAACATTTATTTCATTTTTATTTGTTTGGGTCGTCTGACCAAACAAATAATGGTAGCGAAATTTCAGAGTCTGATGCTATTAATTGCAAATGCCGAAAGAAGGCCGCTTTTTTTAAGCGGTTACTTCCCTTTATATGTACACTAGCGCAGAAAAAATTCAGGGGAGATCACTGCGTAAAGATGGTCAAATGACAGGCGCATTAATTTTCAAGCAAAATAATTCCCGAATGGTCGAAGATTTCTAATATTGTTTTATCCTTTATAGATATACATGCTTATAATAAGCTCCATGATTATTAACATCTGTGTTAAACAACAGTTAGCGTCGAAATAATAAGGGTTACAAACCCTAATTTAGAATAATATGGTTTTCTTCAGCCCTTTTACATATAACTTCACCGTGGCTGAGGGGTCTGGAGTTCAAATCCAGGAAGGCAACTCTATTTTTTTTCAAATTGTTTAAATCAAATAAACATTGAATTGAATATCAGTGTAGCAATTAGTCTTACAGCCAATTAACTACAATTAAAACGCTGGAAAGCATTGGTGGCACTATACAAAAACAAATTGGTTTATAATCTCACAACCTTCACCTTTCTGACATTCTGAGACCCAAACAAATTCAGAGGCTTCTGTGCTTTGATTTACATGTGGATCTTTATGCAAAATAAAGATCTTGTTTGCAACTTGGCGTTTGCAGCACAATGCAAGGGAGTGAGTTACCTGTATGGAAGGTCTTTTTATATTTTACCTTGTTACTATAAATCAGTATATTATTTTTAAGTTAGTAATAGTCATATAACTTATATTCATTTCAAATTATGTAGAATAGTTTTGACACTGTGAATCAGATCTTTGCAGTGAACTATTGCCAACATCCATATATATATAAGCTAAATGATCGTGCGATACTACATTTTAGCTGTGAATATACGATAAAAACATTTAAGCTCTTGTGTTTGTATTAAAGTCATACAGATCATTTTAAAGCATATTTTCCTTGATTATATCTCACGTTAAGTTATGGTGAAACAAAAGAAAAATAACAAAGAAAAAACTAAACTTGTTACAAAAGGAAATAAAACCCATCTTTTTTACAAGAGAGATACCTGGCTATGTTTTGTTTTTCTAAAGAACTATTTAAAACAGTGTACACGTTAGACTTTGTGCTATTTCTCTAACATTCAATATATGTACTTGATGTAACTATAGATAATAACAACAGTAGTAGTACAATTAGCTTAAATATCCCCTAAATACTTAGTTAAAGCATATAGCTATATTTGATATATAAGTTTCTGGCTATCCTTCAGCCAAAAATCGGCACTCAACGTACACTCATAATAAGCCAAGGTACGCCCCTGCCAGCCAAAAAAGTGAACAAGAAACATGGCAATGCCATGAAACCAGGTTTTCAATTATCACCATTGTAGATAAATATGTTGTAGTTGAAATACAAATACAAGCAACAAACAATGTAACTATGTGCAATGTAAATCATGATTAATGAATTTTCTATTTTTAGTAACTGTAACCTTGACCCTAGGCCAAAAAGCCATCCCAAGTGAGGTCTTCATAAAAACTTGCTTTACCACAAATTTCATAAAATATCTTATTCCAAACAAGTTATTGACTGGAAACCTATTTTCTATTTTTTTTAACAGTGACCTGACTGGAAACAGATTTTCTATTTTTAGCAACAATGACCTTGACCTTGACTCTACAGGACCCAAAAGCAGGCAGATGAGCTGGCAGGCATGCAACAACCTAGATAGTTTCTGTTTTATAACTAAATAAAGTTTGTTGTGATTAATAGGATATATGACACTAATAATTAAATTTTATGGAAAAACAGAGGGCCATAATAAGGTAAAAACTTATCCAATCATAAAACCCTGACAATACACAGCAGGGCACTCGAAGATAAAGCTAAACTGTAAAATTTTAACAAAATCCTTTGAGAAATGTAGATGCAGTTGGGCAACAGAAGAAATTGTTCACTATATACTATATATAAGGGAAAAAAACAAAGGGCCATAATTAGGTCAAAATTATCCAATCACAAAAACCCAACAGTATGCCTCAGGACACTTGATGACAAAGCTTCTGTAAAAGTTTGAACAAAATCCATTGAGAAATTTAGGAGAAGTTGCGCACAGAAAAAATTGTTCACTATATATTCTATATAAGGGAAAAAAACAAAGGGCCATAATTAGGTCAAATGTTATCCAATCACAAAACCCTGACAATATGCACCAGGGCACTTGATGACAAAGCTTCTGTGAAAGTTTGGTCAAAATCCGTTGAGAAATGTAGGAGGAGTTGCGCACAGAAGAAATTGTTTACGCCCGCCCGCCTGTCCGCCCATCCGCCGACATACCTCAATCTAATAACCAGATTTTTCCTTCGGAAAACCTGGTTAAACAAGCAATTATCATAGTATTGCAAGCAATCCAGAAGTCCCCTACCGGTTAGAACCCCATCAGCATTCTGAAGGGCCATTGGCCATTCACTAATGTTTAAATTTTTCTCTATTTTAAGTAAATTTGTTGGAAATGTTCTTTAAAAGTGATCACAGGAAAAAGTTTTTATGAACAGACAGACAGACGGACTGAAGGACACTCTAAAGTTAATATTTGAAACATCCCTGTTACCAAAATATAACATTTTAAAAAGCAAAATTCTTAAAGAGGAGATAACTCTGGAATTAAAGATGCAATTTCATAAAAATTTTCAGCTCTTTTTGACTAATCACAAATATTGTTATATTGGCAATGTTTTAAGCCTATTTGTTGCCAAGGCAACCAATATTTTTTCAAAATAGGAAGAACAGATAAGACATGCATAATCTCAAGACTGCCATCTACCCACATGTCAAGTTTCATAAAAATATTTGCATTACTTTTTTTAGTTATCACTGGATTCAGTTTATGTGTAAAATTTGGCATATTTTCAGTCTATGTGTTTCCATAGCAACCAGAATTTTCAACATAGGAAAAAAAGAAAAAGACGTGGCTGCATAATCTCCAGACTGCCATCTTCCCATATTACAAGTTTCATAAAAATATTTCTGTTTCTTTTTACGTTAACACTGGATCCAGTTTATGTGTAAAAATTGCCATATTTTCAGTCTATTTGTTGCCATAGTAACCAGAATTTTCAACATAGGAAGAAAAGAAAAAGACGTGCATAATCTCCATACCGCCATCTATCCATATATCAAGTTTCATAAAAATATTTCCAGTACTTTTTGAGTTATCACTGGATCCAGTTTATGTGTAAAATTTGCCATATTTTCAGGCTATTTGTTGCCATAGCAACCAGAATTTTCAACATAGGAAGAAAAGAAAAAGACGTGCATAATCTCCATACTGCCATCTATCCATATATCAAGTTTCATAAAAATATTTTCAGTACTTTTCAAGTTATCGCGGGATCCAGTTTTTTGGACGGATGGACTGACGGACTGACAGACAGACGGACGGACGGACAGACGGACGGAGGGTAAACCTAAAGTCCCCTCCGGTAAACCGGTAGGGGAAAAAAAGCATAACATGCGGAAAATAAAATATACATTTTATTTCCAGATTTCAAGTATTGAAAATATACCGAGATCATATATTTAAAATAATGAATATATTAGTCATATAATCACAATATTTATGATTTCTGTCATTAAAAAGACAGTAGAACAATTTCTAAGCTGATATTCATACTTGTTTTGAAATTTTACCGCTCACAAAACCATTTGTTACTACTCTATGAAAGTTTAGCGAATGATAAAAATACAAGTGAATAATTGCAAATATTTTCATATCTATCTAAGACATAGTGGAACCTCCTGAGATGATGTACAACAAATCATAAATATTATAGCTATAAGTTAAGTTGAATAGCACCACTGCATTAAAGTATATTATAAAATGTCTTTTATTAGTGTCAATGTTGAGCTCGATGTTTGAATAAGTAACATACGTATCAAAAATACTTTTTTTCTGAGTACTTGTCAAACATGTTACCTAATCATTTTTTTAATTAAAAAAAACTTTGACATGTTAGGAATTATTTCATCCAATAATTTTTTAAAATGTGTGACTGTAGGCAAGCCTTCAGAACTCTTAGCTGTGAAAACATCCCGTAAAGCGTCCTCCCCACCGCGAATATACAACAACTTTAAATGCGACAAATTTAATCCAGATCCTGCAATGTTTTCAGCAGTAGGTCTTTTCATTACTCCTGTATAAATCAAAGGATTCAATGATGGTAAATTTGAGGCTTTAGCCTTATTGAACATGATGTTGTTGGCTACTGCAGATGGACTGAAACTATGTTCCATCAAATCTTTTGTTGGGCTGAATTAACTTTCCGAGTGCCTTTACATCTTCAATGGCATTATGTGCATCATACACTTCACCAAGAATAGAGGATACAAGGTCAACTTGTTTCAAAGATTGCTTAGGATAAAGTTTTCTAAACACAAACAAAGAATCAATAAATGCACACTTTGAAAACTTATCAATTAAGAACTCCGAGATTTGTTAGCGTGTTACCAAAATTGGGAAATCGAACCTACGTCCATTATGTGCAACTAAACACACATTTTGAAATTTAGAAATCCAGGCGATCATATCATCAACTGCTGATCTAATATTCACAGATTGAACTTTTGTTCCATTAACTGTCATCTGGCCTTCAAAATATGCTATTCCAGTAACACTAGTTGCTGTGTTATCAATGGGAACTGTAGGGTTGACATATGTGTTGAATTGTTGCCCTGGCACAACTTCTGCTGCAGAAATTTGTGTCATCTGAGGTTGGACTCCTCCTTGAACTGTTACATACATTAAAATACAATTATAAACACATTTTTATAACTGTTTGTATGGTGAATTGCTGGAAAGATAAAGCTTTTAAATTTTTAATTCATCCACAATTCATATAGGCAGTTACAAATTCTTTGAATATACAATTAAAGGATATTCCCTTCTTCTTAAATTGTAAATTATTAAATAAAGGATATTAATGTTAGTTATCCAGATCTTTGAAACAATTTAAAATCATGTATAAATTGAAATTTGTAAAAATGATAATCACTTAGCCCAGTTGTTTCCAAGTCAAAGGATATTATAGTTGGCTTACAATGGAATTTTGCAGGCTTGAAATTCCCCCGTGGAATTGAATCAGGTATTTTCTCGACATTAACAGTTTCTGCATGACCAATACCTGTATAATTCATTTTTCAATAACATTAAATAAACTGTTTAGGTTTAACTCTATGTAAAATGCCATTGTCTGAAAACAAACAAATTATTCAAAATTCTATTTGATCCAAACAAAATATACTGTAAACTTCATATTTTCTTATACAATACATATTCTGGATTTTTTGTGTGTTTTTTATAACATGTATAGAGCATGTGTTCAACAAGCATTATATTTGTGCTCTACATTTGTTCAACATATGTCAATGTATACATTCTACATTTGCAACACAGGTGTTCTACATATGTTCTACATATTTTTAGATTTGTACTACCTTTAAAGTGCTAGTATTCAAAAAGTATTTTGCGTACATTCATGTGAACTACATGTTCTCTGTATATATACATCATATGCATTATAATATGTTCTAAAGTGTTCTACATATGAACTTACCAGACTGATATGTATCTCCTTCCAGTGCCTCATTTGCACCCTGATTAGTGGCCCGTTCCTGTTGTAACAACAATCACCTACGTTTGGTGGAGGGGAATTTTGCCTTTTCTCTCTTTTTTTCCTGCTGTTTCATACATTTCCCTGCATGACAAACTGTACGAGTCCCAGGTGAAAGACCCAACATTGAGTAACCCTGTTTTATACAAGTTAATAATTTAATCATTTGATAACAATACGTTATGTGGTGTTTTTTCGGAAAGAAATTATGAAAAACTAGTAGCAGCTTATTTTGTATAGTAACAAAGACTATGAGTTTACTCATAATTATGACGTCATGTGTAAGCAAATTGTCTTTCATTGGCGGCGGAAGAAAAGTTTCTCTTGCAATGTGTGCATAATAGAAAATCCTGTCTGATATTTAAGAATATAATAGTATATCTTGCATTGTGTGCATAATAGAAAATCCTGTCTGATATTTAAGAATATAATAGTACATCTTTTATAAAATTTATCGTTTAAGTATGCATTTGATAGATTATCTGGATTGTAGATTGAATAACTTTAAATGAAAACTTTATTTACTTACATTACATTCAGGGCTTCACATAAGTCTAACTGTGTCCAACAAACAGGTATATGTAAAGAACAACAACAAGAACTTCTGAAATGATAACAAATAAACAACTTCAACATGATCAACAAATAAATAATTGTAATATGATCTGACAAAAACAGCAACTTTAAAAATGATCCATATTAACATGGTAACTGAAATATAAGGAAAAACTGAAAAACATCAATAAACTAAAAACAAATGAAAAAAGAAAAGTAGAATCAAAACAGCAAACCATACCTTAGAAATGTACTGCCTTCCTTCATTTATGAATGCTGCTGTTACATGGACACGATAATCAAGACTACTGGAGTTTCCATAGTGATGACTTTTAGGTGCTCTTAGTGTGACCTCTTTGTTTGCGTGCTCACACTGTTGACTCGAACCAAGATCTATATAGTGACCAGCATTATATATAATTGGATCAAACAACTGTTGTAATTTTTGTCTGAGATTACTGTCCTGGAGTGAAGTTTTATATGGAAGGCTACGATGTGTGTAGCTGGAAACAGGCTTCCGTTTGTAACTTGCATGACACAAACTATGATCACCAAACTGATGTGGAACTAGAGCCTTCAGGTTTTCTTCCATTCCAATTTGTCGCCTTGATTTTTTGCAAATGCATATTTCAAACATTTTTCTAGATGAGAAATGACAGTTTTGCTAAGTTTAACACCTTTTTCACCTTTCAGTTTACAACATGATTCTTGTCAAAACGTTTCTTCATTGAAACACCGAGATCAGTTTTTAATCGAGAAATAAGGGTGTTGTCACCGTCACCTTCCAAGTATTCCACTGGTATACCTTCAGCTAAAAGTTCCTTAACCCCTTTCACACCACTTGTTGCTTCCATAGCTCTTGCACTGCCCCTATGATTTCTGACACATGCATGAGGACGTACTTTCTGGCCCGGCCTTTTGCGTCTCCACCAATTACAAACACCACAGGTCCGATGGCTAACTATTGTTTTAACAACTTTATTTGGCTGTCTAGATTTCCCAGTGGTCATGAAGAAAGTGTGAGCTGTCAGAAATGACAAAAATATACAATAAACAACAAACACTAAAACATATGAATTGTTCTATATGTAGCTAAAAACTGATTATTTCAAAGTAATGTATCAAAATTGTATTATCTCTAGACACTGAATGCAAAATATTTATTTCTTACAATAACACCACACATACTCATAAGCCCCTGCCATCACTTATGTCTATAGCACATATATGTATGCAATATCAGGGAAAAACAGAAACAGTTTCTAAAATAAACAAAATATGTTTGTAAAACATGTATGCCCCCTATCAGCAGCCAATTAGTCATGTGATAAGGTTATTATGCATGACGTCTGACCCAGTGATCAAACAATTAATAAGGGTTATAAAGTATCTACTGGTCATGACCTTGACCTTTGACCCCTTGACCCAAAACTCAATAGGGGTCATCTGCTGGTCACGACCAATCATCATACAAAGTTTGAAGTTCCTAGGCCTAGGCGTTTTTAGTAAATTGATCAGAAACCGTTTTTACCTACAAGGTCAATGTGACCTTGACCTTTGACCCCTTGACCCCAAAATCAATAGGGGTCATCTGCTGGTCATGACCAATCACCATGCCAAGTTTGAAGTTCTTAGGCCTAAGGGTTCTCTTATTATTGATCGGAAACCGTTTTAACATACAAGGTCAATGTGACCTTGACCTTTGACCCCAAAATCAATAGGGGTCATCTGCTGGTCATGACCAATCACCATGCCAAGTTTGAAGTTTCTAGGCCAAAGCGTTCTTTAGTTATTGATCAGAAACCGTTTTTACTTACAAGGTCATTGTGACCTTGACCTTTGACCCCTTGATCCCAAAATCAATAGGAGTAATCTGCTGGTCATGACAAATCACCATACCAAGTTTGAAGTTCCTAGGCCTAAGCGTTCTTGAGTTATTGATCAGAAACCGTTTTTACTTAAAAGGTCAATGTGACCTTGACCTTTGACCCCAAAATCAATAGGGGTCATCTGCTGGTCATGACCAATCACCATGCCAAGTTTTGAAGTTTCTAGGCCGAAGCGTTCTTTAGTTATTGATCAGAAACCGTTTTTACTTACAAGGTCATTGTGACCTTTACCTTTGACCCCTTGATCCCAAAATCAATAGGAGTAATCTGCTGGTCATGACAAATCACCATACCAAGTTTGAAGTTCCTAGGCCTAAGCGTTCTTGAGTTATTGATCAGAAACCGTTTTTACTTAAAAGGTCAATGTGACCTTGACCTTTGACCCCTTCACCTAAAACTCAATAGGGGTCATTTGCTGGTCATGACCAATCATCACACAAAGTTTGAAGTTCCTACGTCTAAGCGTTTTTAGTTAATTGATCGGAAACCGTTTTTACCTACAAGGTCAATGTGACCTTGACCTTTGACCCCTTGACCCCAAAATCAATAGGTCATCTGCTGGTCATGACCAATCACCATACCAAGTTTGAAGTTCCTAGGCATAAGGGTTCTTAAGTTATTGATCCGAAAGCATTTTTACCTACAAGGTCAATGTGACCTTGACCTTTGACCCCTAGACCCCAAAATCAATAGGGGTCATCTACTGATCATGACCAATCACCATCTCAAGTTTGAAGTCCCTAGGCCTAAGGGTTCTTTCATTATTGATCGGAAACCGTTTTTACCTACAAGGTCAATGTGACCTTGACCTTTGACCCTTAACGCCAAAATCAATAGGGGTCATCTGATTGGTCATAACCAATCACCATACCAAGTTTGAAGTTCCTAGGCCTAAGGGTTCTTTTGTTATTGATCAGAAACCGTTTTTAATTAAAAGGTCAATGTGACCTTGACCTTTGACCCCTTGACCCCAAAATCTATACGGGTCATCTACTGATCATGACCAATCACCATACCAAGTTTGAAGTTCCTAGGCCTTAAGGTTCTTTAGTTATTGATCGGAAACCGTTTTTACCTACAAGGTCAATGTGACCTTGACCTTTGACCCCTTGACCCCAAAATCAATAGGGGTCATCTACTGATCATGACCAATCACCATACCAAGTTTAATGTTCCTAAGCCTTAAGGTTCTTAAGGTATTGATCGGAAACCGTTTTTACCTACAAGGTCAATGTGACCTTGACCTTTGACCCCAAAATCAATAGGGGTCATCTACTGATCATGTCCAATCACCATACCAAGTTTGAAGTTCCTAGGCCTTAAGGTTCTTTAGTTATTGATCGGAAACCGTTTTTGCTTTTAAGGTCAATTTGACCTTGACCTTTGACCCCTTGACCCCAAAATCTATACGGGTCATCTACTGATCATGACCAATCACCATACCAAGTTTGAAGTTCCTAGGCCTTAAGGTTCTTTAGTTATTGATCGGAAACCGTTTTTACCTACAAGGTCAATGTGACCTTGACCTTTGACCCCTTGACCCCAAAATCAATAGGGGTCATCTACTGATCATGACCAATCACCATACCAAGTTTAATGTTCCTCAGCCTTAAGGTTCTTTAGGTATTGATCGGAAACCGTTTTTACCTACAAGGTCAATGTGACCTTGACCTTTGACCCCTTGACCCCAAAATCAATAGGGGTCATCTACTGATCATGACCAATCACCATACCAAGTTTGAAGTTCCTAGGCCTTAAGGTTCTTTAGTTATTGATCGGAAACCGTTTTTGCTTTTAAGGTCAATGTGACCTTGACCTTTGACCCCTTGACCCCAAAATCAATAGGGGTCATCTACTGGTCATGACTAATCACCATACCAAGTTTGAAGTTCCTAGGCCTTAAGGTTCTTTAGTTATTGATCGGAAACTGTTTTTGCTTTCAAGGTCAATGTGACCTTGACCTTTGACCCCTTGACCCCAAAATCAATAGGGTCATCTACTGGTCATGACCAATCACCATACCAAGTTTGAAGTTCCTAGGCCTTAAGGTTCTTTAGTTATTGATCGGAAACCGTTTTTGCTTTCAAGGTCAATGTGACCTTGACCTTTGACCCCTTGACCCCAAAATCAATAGGGGTCATCTACTGGTCATGACCAATCACCATACCAAGTTTGAAGTTCCTAGGCCTTAAGGTTCTTTAGTTATTGATCGGAAACCATTTTTGCTTTCAAGGTCAATGTGACCTTGACCTTTGACCCCTTGACCCCAAAATCAATAGGGGTCATCTACTGGTCATGACCAATCACCATACCAAGTTTGAAGTTCCTAGGCCTAAGGGTTCTTTAGTTATCACTCGGAAACCATTTGGTCTACGGACCGACGGACCGACAAGTGCAAAGCAATATACCCCCTTTTTTTCAAAATGGGGGCATAATTAACTTACAGGTTAGAGAATCAAATCCTCGCTTGTGCCAGGCCGTGTCAACAGCAACAGACATTCCACTTCTTGTCTGACAAAGGTATTTTGGAAGTAGTCTTACTTTTGCTTTCTTTATTCGTTGATGTGTTTTCCTATCAGATTGAGGAGTCAGAACTGGGACTGGCAGTGGCTTTCTGGTATCTGTAGGTGTGCTATAATTGAACCAAGCAAGCATTTAAATGAAGCATCTCAGCATCAAAATATATACACTATGAATAAAAAAGAATTTACTATAAACATATAACAGTGTTTTTGTTTATATGACATAAGGACTTCTAAACTAACAATGTCTAGCATTAAACTTGTTGTAGTAAAATTGCTTTAGTATCACAACATTAAAATATTATTTCATTGACAATCTGTATCATTTCAGTTTTGATACATCGTAATTATTATAGTTGCCATAATTGGAAAAAGATATTTTTGTGAAGTAAGCTAAATGTACATAAATCCAATTTGATATAGACACTATTTACTTTAATAATCAGTCCATACCTGAAAGCATTACATGATAATGGGGTCTGAACAGAGAGACTGACATTTCCGGTACAGTTCAAGTCATCCTCCTCACTTGGTCTACTTTCATCATCAGTATTATCTTCATTTGCATTCACGTTATCATGAAACGACATCCTGTTTTGAAAACAAATATAAACTATAAAAAACTGAAATAGTGCTCACTGTTGAAATGTAATGAATGATTCATTGATATATCATGCATGAATTGCCTTTTTATACATGTATGTGCACACACAAAAATTGCAAACAACAATTACTTGTAATGCACTATACATTGTAGATTTTTATAAAGCAAAACATCAACAATATAAACAAAAAGAAAGAAAGATAAACCTTAGGATAAAAATGTGATTATGTTTAAACTTGTATGAAAACTCAACTGACATGGCATGAGTATTCTTATCAAACTCTCATGTCCATGTACTAGCTTATAATCTGTGTTTATATATAAACACTTAATAACATTGACTGAAAGAATCCTGATATGTGTTGTAACTTGCATTTTTTTTTAAAAATAACAATTAAAAATATATATACTAATAATAATTAAAAATAATAATGATAATAATGAATATAACCTAATTTTTATCACAGCAGAAAATATATACATGTATGTAAGTTGACGACTTAAGGCATAAAGCACACTATATATCTATACGTTTTGTAAATAATAATTAATACTTTCTTTTTTAAACTAATTTGGTTTTATATAAAAAGTTTTTTCATACATCAGTGCAGGTGATGTATAAGGTATTGGACAGACACCCAATTCTTCCACCAAACCACTCATGCTGGCCTGTACTTCAAGTGACTCCTTCTCAGCGACAGACCTATAATGTGTACAGAATGTTATTGAAATTCATATTAAGACTTTTTAACTATAACCATAGTTAATACACATCCCACTAAGTTTAAATTACTTACTTTTCTATCTGTGAGAACATGAGGTATGGTAGAGCTAAGTTAGCAAATTCGTTCACTTCTAGTGTGATACAATCCTGTAGCTTGCCAGATACTGTACTAATCTGTGTCTGATGTGACATCAATGATCTCTCTATATACTGGTCGATCTATAATTATATATATTTTATTTTATGCTTTTCAGTGGATTACTGATTAATCCGTGAAAATTATATTTGATAACTTCACAGCGTAGCCACTTGTGAGAATACTGTTTTTAAAGCCCACTCGATGAAATAAAATTTCATCTTACACACAAACAAACAAATATCCTCTATATATTATAATATAACAGTAGTTGGTGTCATTGATGGGAAATCTTGTATCAAAATATTAAAGACATACTGTAAAGTCTTGCTTTACGATAGACCCTAAATTGCAACCTAATTTACGACCAACCCTAACCATATATATTATGTTATTTCACAGTAGGGGTGCCATTGATGGAAAATCTTGTATCAAAATATTAAAGACATACTATAAAGTCTTGCTTAACGACAGACCCTAAAGTACAACCTAATTTACGACCGACCCTTATCATATATATTATTATGTTATTGAACAGTAGGGGTGCCATTGATTGAAAATCTTGTATCAATATATTGACGACATATCTATATATCAAAACAAATAGCTTGTACAGTTGAAACCATTTTAATATTTCTTAAACCACCATCATGGTGTTATGAATGCTTGTTTTTTGCATATAATAAACTTCAAGAATGTTAAAATATTTCATAAGTTATAGATCAATATATATTTTTCAGCCTGTGCAGTTTTAAAATTTATTATCCTAGATTTTGTAATTATGTACATAAAGAATTTGTATATAAACATACCTCATCTATCTGAGAATCAAGTCTGGACTGAAGAGTTTATATTCTGTTTTACCAACACTTGTATAACATTCTGTTTCTTATCCTGTAAAATATAAAATAAATCATCATGATAGTCCCACATAACAAACTTGAAAGTTACATTTGTACTTACACCTTTTTCCATGGCTTATCAGCTACATATAAAATGGTGTTTTACAAAGAGTTGTCCAATCTACAGCCTCCTAGACTATTCTCATTGCTTGATAGTAAAATAAACAGCCACAAGTTATTCATTAAATATCCATGCAAGAGTTATGTGTCTTGTTCACTAACATACAAATATAATGCCAAAGACTCATGTAAAGTTTCAAATAACCAATAGTAGTTGTAGTTATTTCTTATGAATGTACTTCATCTTAATCCTATAACCCAGATCCATGAACTTACCTACTATATAAGACAGCATGCTAGACTATTCTCTGTGCTTGACAGTAAGAAAAGGAGCATAACTCTGTAAGAAGGTTAATCAGAGTTATGTGACCTGTTATCATTATGTAAGATAATCAGAGAAAACTAGAAATGTGTCGTCACGCCACGGATGCCCCGCATGCAGCCAAAATTTCAGAAGTTCCAACTTTGTTTGCACAAACTATTTTTTTCATTTTAAGTTCAAAGCCCTTAAAACTATTTGATGTAAACAAAAATCATTTTTATACAAAGTTCAAGTTAACCTTTTCTAAATTGCATCTTGCATATTTGTAGCCAAAATAATGACTATAATGAATAATACATTTCCACAAAAGTATGAGTACTGAAACTGAAAATTCAAATTTTTTCCAACATTCAAGAGAGATAACTTTGTCCAAAATCATTGAACCACAACCAAATTCAAACTTGAAACTGCTTATTCCTAAGATGTATCTATATGTCAAATTTGAGTTGAATGTGTACAACCATTCGGGAGATAATGAACGGAAACTGAAAATTTCCTTTTTTTTTCAAAGTTCAAGAGGGATAACTCTGTTAGCTATCATCAAACCATAACCAAATTCGAACTTTACCAGTTATTCTTATGAAATATCCATATGTTAAATTTGAGTTGAATATGTACAACTGTTATAAAGATAATGAACGGAAACTGAAAATTCCCTTTTTTTAAAGTTAAAGGGGCATAACTCTGCCAAAAAACATCGAACCATGACCAAATTCGAACTTGACCTGCCCATTCCTTTGACGTATCCATATGTCAAATTTGAGTTGAATGTGTAATACTGTTGGGGAGATAATGAACGGAAACTGAAAATTTCATATCATTTTCAAAGTGAAAGGGGCATAACTCTGCCAAAAATCATCGAACCATGACCAAATTCGAACTTGACCTGCCCATTCTTTTGACATATCCATATGTCAAATTTGAGTTAAATGTGTAATACCATTGGGGAGATAATGAACGGAAACTGAAAATTTCATATTATTTTCAAAGTGAAAGGGGCATAACTCTGTCAAAAATCATTGAACCATGACCAAATTCAAACTTGACCTGCCCATTCCTTTGACATATCCATATGTCAAATTTGAGTTGAATGTGTAATACCATTGGGGAGATAATGAACGGAAACTGAAAATTTCATATTATTTTCACAGTGAAAAGGGCATAACTCTTGTCAAACCATCAGACCATGACCAAATTCGAACTTGACCTGTATTTTCTCATGATATAGTCATATGTCAAATTTAAGTCGATTGAGTGCAACCGTTACTAAGATAATGAACGGAAACTGATGATGACAGAATGACGGAACAGGGTACCACTATATGCCCCAGCCATTTTATGTAGTTTTGGAGATATCTACTTGCATGCAAAAACTTAACTTAAATGTGATTGTGACAGAAGTACAATAGCTCACTCTATTCTTTGTATAGTCCAGCTAAAAAAAATGGTATACCCTACAATCTTTTAATTATAAATAAGTTAATAAAAGAAAGATTATTACAGTAAGTTCCTGGAACTCTTGTATTCTGTGATATTTTGTTATAAGTTCCTGCCTCCCTCTGAAGCTGGACTCTACAATCTCTTTTAAACTTTCCCCCTCTCTGTTTAGACAATGAAGAGATGCCCTAAATCCATCTAACTCTAGCTCCGCCTCTATCAAATTCCTGAATATTAATGTTACAATAGATATACATTATAGAGATAGTGTTGTGTTAATAAAGAATATATTTTCAAAATACATTTAGTTAACTTCCATGCTTAAGTTAAGGACAGAGAAAAATCATCTACTTTTACAAGTCTAAATAAACATGCCATGTCTCGTGTTAAAAACTATATTAGTTAATTCTGTATAAAATCTCTTATTAAGATAATCTTAATGTTCTTCTAATAAACAAGTTTATTATATAGATAACAAATTTTACTTTATTCTTGCATGTTTTTCTAGGAATTAAAAATAGGAAATCAAAATAAATTAATTAATTAGTTTAAAGCTGCACGCCTCCAGATGAGCCAAAATATTTCAAGAAAATTAATATTGAGAAAAATATACTAAAATTTTAAGAAAGATAAAACATTCAAGATCCAAGTGATATTTTACATGTTATGTGCGGTTTAAGACTGCTTTTGCAGTATTTTATCAACATATTTTGACTGCGTTACTAACGCAGAAAGGGATGTTTTTGCATATGTTGACCACATTTTGTAATTTTCTTGGATTGTAAGCAGTCTTCACGAAAAACGTTAAAAAGCACAGGACATTCAGGCCAGTAAAATATCAAATCTTACTGGACCTGGTGATTTTAGCCGGACCAAATACATAGATAGGAAATAAATTGATGGGAACAGGAAAACACTTTATCATGCTTCCCTTGATAATTTTGAAAGAAGCATAATACGTCTTGTATTCTGGGCCTTATGTTGACAGCTTTGAAAAATCTATAAGGACCAAATGTTTAGGCAAAATTGACTAGAATTGAACATGAACAACACAATTTGCTTCAAACAAATCACTTTCACACAAAATATTTACTTAACTCAATAATCACAAAATCATAACTAAATAATTACCATAATAAACAATGGTTTAATTCCCATAACTGTACGGTGCGGTACGGAAAATATCCAAGAAAAAAATGGCAGCCTCCGTTACTCAATACAATTTAGACATCTCTCGTTGTGTTTTGAACATTTAGGACAGAATTGATGGGTTTCATTTGCATAAAAGGCAAAAAGATCAATCTTTTAGAGAACCCTGCTTTATTATTTTGATGAATTTTTCTTATAATATTTTTTTATGGCCAAACATCTACTGGCCCGTCGGACCACCAACCTTGCAATAATCACTGGACCAATGCTAAATTTAGTGGCCTCGGGCTGGCGTTAATTTCGAAGACTGATTGTAAGTGGCTATTGCAATATGTTTATTATTTCATTTGTTCACCTCACAATATTTTACTTTTGAATACATTTCCAAAATTTTCATGAAAATTAACATGAATCTGGAGGCATGCTGCTTTAATTTAAAATTCATTCAAAAAGAAAATCTGATTTCTCAAATTACTTCAGAATTAGAAAATGTGTTGATAGGGAACAAACACCCCCTATATTCCACTGATTTATCAGTCTACTGTCAGACCGTGCTACAACAAGACTGGTGGACAATGGCTTATCTATATGGCCCATCCCAAAAGTGG